GCCTTAAGATTTAGATTTATACAGAGGGTTTAGTAATAACAAAAAAACTGTTTTATGTAAGAAATTTGTCAGAGAATCTCCTTTTTTTTTACATAGTACAAAATCTCTGAATTTTCAGGCTCTTCTCTAACTGTTCTTTAGAATGGACAAAACAAATCAAGAATGTAAAGTTTTTCAAAGAATATCAAACAATCAATTATAATTCTGTGTTTATATATCATATGAATTTTGTATCCTAATTTCATAAAATAATCAAAAGGAACTCAAAGCTTATGAATGTAGTAGAGTAACAACATTGTTTCTATCATACAACCAGACTAAGAAGACCTAAATAATCCCAGTTTAATCAAATTTTCTGTACCTAGTTTTCGAACTTCTTGTTTTGTGCTCTCTCTGTTTCTTGTTTTACTTTGCTTCGTATTCGCGATTATGATTCAGGGAGTACCAATTCCTGTGTAAAGAATAGACAGAAAAAAAACAGAGGCGCTATCGTCAAGTGACTTGGAGAAATCGAAAAAATGTAATGTGAAATAGGCGGTTTTTTACTGACACAAACCTTGTCGCAAACCGGACAGGCCTCGCTTCTTTCCATCCAATCAAGTATGCACGCGAGATGAAAATCATGACCGCATTTTGTTAGCAATCTCGGGTTCTCGGACTCATATTCTGCGCGAACCGAACCAAAACAAATGAATAAGACGAGATATTTAACAAAAGCTATGTCTCTTTCAATGATAAAAACATATACCTTCTAAACAAATTGGACACTCATCGATTGTTTCTCGATCCTTTTTCTTTACATCAAATTCAGATAGATCATCAACAGGCCACGTTTCCTTCTCTGGAAGGGCGTGTGTGATTCCGCGAGCTCCTTCACTCGAATTGCTCTGAGTTATTGGCAATTTTGGTGGAGTTTGAAGGTTTCTAGGCGAGAATACTAAAGGAATAGGCGGTGAAGTGTATAGATCAGAGACTAAGTTTCTATTTCCAGCTCCAGGTGATACCACAGCAGAGGAAGGCGGGGCACGAGATAAAGGAACATGCTCATCTATAGTTCTTGAGCTCTGCAGAAAAAACAATGTAACATAAGAAAACCAAAACAAAACCTTTTCCCTTCGAAATCATAAGTCCGGCTCCAATTCCATTTCTGATCTTTTAACATATAAAGAAGAAGGTTTCAAAGGAAACAAAGAGAGCGAAAAACACGTAAATATTTACTTCGGGTATACTCGGGAAACAACAGCAGCAGCAATCCATTCTTTGGACTGTTAAACAAAGTTTTTGACAGCTCACAGATCAGTGTGTTCCAGCTCCTCAGATTACAAAAAGACCTGAAATTTCAAGACCAAAGTTTAAGAAGGAAAATCCAGCTCTGTGATCAAACTTTGTAATTGAGAAACAACATTCAAACACTTCAATGTAACATAGCTGCACATACATACACAATCTATGAGAGAATAATCAGTGAGATTAATACAAGACAAATATGTGTACTTATGAGGTTCATTATGAAGAAAGAAAGTATCCAAATTTCATCAAGCAACAAAAGAAAAGTATTCAAATTTCATATGATCATAAGAACAATATTAGCTTACCAAAAGAAAAAAAGTTTGATTCAGTACAAATCCCCAATTGGGTTTCACCACTATAGTATCAGCAAAACCAAATCCAAAACCCTA